TAGCGCTGTTTAGATTCATTGTAATAATTCTAGAAGATGCACAAAGTGGGAATGAGTTGCTTGCTCCGGGCATTTCAATATTGCAATAATTGTTACGTTATAAGACTCATTGTAAAAATGAATATTAAAAAAAAAAAATGCCCGCTGTGTTTCTTGCCAGTTCTTCCCAGGACTGAGGCTAGTTTTTGTGAATTGGCGGTAGTTCTTTTTGACGTTCAACAAGTATGTATTTCCATTTATGTTGAATAATTTTTTTTTGATTTGATTTGTAATCGTACAGTAATCTTCTCTATAACACGGTAGATTAGTTTCGCCTTAAGGTAATGCGTTGTACGGGTATTCTCGCATAACGCGCTTGTATGACCCCTTAAAACGGGTTCTGTACAAACATAATTTAAATACAAAAATATAATATATACACTTTAACTAATCTTTTTACGATTCAAAAACACAAATTTAATAAATTAATTTAGTCAATTTAATTTCATAACAACACAATATGCACATATGGTCACAATATGCAAAGGTACGCGAAATTAATTATGAACTGTACAAATCATTATAAATTTCATAGTACAGAAATACGTACGACGTGTGAAATCGCCGCGTTATACGCGGGAATACACGTGTTATACGAGGGACTCGCTTAATATAAAAATGCGTTATAACAGTATCGTGTTATAAGGGCATTACTTTTGCAAATCCACTCAAATTGATTATGTACAAAACAAACACAAAGTCAATTGCATAGGATAAGCTATTCGTAACTATTACGCTGTTGTATCCTTAATTCAATATCTGCTGTGTGCTCTGATATTTAGAAGTGAGTATTATGACTATATAGTTAGAATTTTCTAGACATTGACATAGGAATTACTGTTGAAAATACAAAATACATCTTTGATTCGAAGTCTCCTGTGCATACATTACATTGGCTCGAAGGAATGATTGGTTTGCTGGAATGATTGGTAGCGCACAGGCATATGAGAAATAAGTTAATATTTCTGCTTATTAACAGGCATATGAGAAATATGCCTGTGCGCTAAGTGTGAGTTTTTAACGTTCTCGATAGCGTAAAAGTTAATTCTAATTTTTAACGTTTGCCGCTAGGGGCGCTGTTCCAACTGCATACAAATTTCAGTTAACTTTTTCGCTATCGAGAGCGTTAAAAAACTGGCACTAACCACACTGTTCCAGAGATGTACGTGTTTAATACACATTTTAGGTTCGATAAACTCCGCAGCCATCTTACCTACTGACGTCGAGCGATGTTAAACCAAACCGATACCATGAGAATGAGAGAATCTAATGAAATACGTACTTAACAAATGTTCACGACTGACTTCCACGGTGAAGGAATAACATCGTGTAATAAAAATCAAAACCCGCAGGATTATAATTTGCGTAATTACTGGTGGTAGCACGTCTTGTGAGTCCGCACGGGTAGGTACCACCGCCCTGCCTATTTCTGCCGTGGAGCATTAATGCGTTTCGGTTTGAAGGGTGTGGCAGCCATTGTACTGTAAAAACGGAGCCTTAGATATGTCGAGGTAGGTGGTGGCATTTACGTTGTAGAGGTCTATGGGCTCCAGTAACCACTTAACATCAGGTTGGCCGTGAGCTCGTCCACCCATCTTCGCAATAAATAAAAAAGAGCATCACTATAAGACTTATTTGTTTTAGCAATGTTAAGTTTTTCCTTTCAAAAATTATCCACCTCATCATGAGTGGCTGATATCGTCAATGGAAAACCAAATCGCTGCCTACCGCTTAAGACGTATTAAAAATCTCGTTTTAAGAAGAACAATGAAAGCGTTTCTCGTAAATATTGTAATACATATTATGTATTGTAATACAATCTCTGAGGAACTATTCGAGATGATACCGGCATCTCGTTTTTACCATCGCACCGCCCGCCATCGGAGTAGAGTTCATCCATACTACCTGGAGCCACTGCGGTCATCCACAGTGCGTTTCCAGAGATCTTTTTTGCCACGTACCATCCGGCTATGGAATGAGCTTCCCTCCACGGTGTTTCCCGAGCGCTATGACATGTCCTTCTTCAAAAGAGGCTTGTGGAGAGTATTAAGCGGTAGGCAGCGGCTTGGCTCTGCCCCTGGCATTGCTGAAGTCCATGGGCGACGGTAACCACTCACCATCAGGTGGGCCGTATGCTAGTTTGCTTACAAGGGCAATAAAAAAAAAAAAAAGTAACATTTTATATTTTACATCATTTATTCACTACGTATACTTTACTAACTTATTTACTTACGTATATTTATTGATTACGCATAGCTTACACGTAAACTTGATAGCTGTGGATAAAAACAATCTTAAAACAAAAATTGGTAGTAGTAGTTTTATTTTTCCAACTGAAATGGCAGAAAAGTGTCACACCATACAGCCTAATCTTTTACATTATATATTATTATGTATATATATTTCTATTTATATGAAAAATGATAATGTGAATGAAATGAAATGAAATAAAATGTGATATTTCAGTAAAATGGTGGTGGTCATTTACTGGGACTTTTTCAGTGGACTTTTTGGAGGATCCCGAGAAGTTACGTCCAGCGGCTTTGCATTATTTACTACATTTGTGCACTTTCACAGAAACTAAGCAGTTAATAAACCACCGTTATTACGCAATTTAAACCTGAAGAAATAAAACAAATCACACAGCTTCGCTCCTCGCGTTCCCGCCAAAAAGTCCTCCAAAAATTAGTACCTACGGTACGGGCGCTGTCATTTATGTCAAGAAATAATCAACTGTCACTGTCAGATGCGTTCAAAAACATCGATATCCGATCCGAATTGTTTTCACTGCGTTCCGAAAATTTTTAATTTCCCTCTCGTACGATAATACGATAAAATCAGTTAAGTAATGCGTGTATGATAAACGCGCAACCGTCTCGGGAATTTTAATTTATGCAACAACAACTCCATAAACAGCCATTAGTGTTTTATTTATTTATTTAATAATTTCTATGTAAATATTGCTATTGATTCTTTAAATAAAATACCTAATAATAATAAGAAATTAAGATTCAGAATAGATTGTTTCTCGATATAGCGTAGCATAGAGATACGCCATATTGAAAACGGGGATTGTGAAATTGAAATGAATAATTAATAAGAAAGTTATTTTAAGATGCCCGTGGATGCGATGCCAAATATTGACTTATTAACCAAACGACACAGACTTATTAAGCAATTCATTTGTTTATTTTTCTAAACATTAACAGTGTTTGAACATTAATTATAGTTGTTATTGTCACAATATTCAAATAATACGAAGAGAATTTGAATATTGAAATATTCGATAAGAGTTTGACGAGTGAACTAATCTATGGACACAGCCTACTAGATTTCTCGCCGGATCTTCTCAGTGGGTCACGATTCCGATCCGATGGTAGATTCAGCGAAGCATTGCTCTTGCTAGGGTTAGTATTAGAAAATTCTCTCAGATTGAGCCCGTGAGCTCACCTACCCGTCCGCACGTTACTGGAATAGCCTCTTAGGCTTTTTTTTTATTGCTTAGATGGGTGGACGAGCTCACAGCCCACCTGGTGTTAAGTGGTTACTGGAGCCCATAGACATCCACAACGTAAATGCGCCACCCATCTTGAGATATCAGTTCTAAGGTCTCAAATATAGTTACAACGGCTGCCCCACCCTTCAAACCGAAACGCATTACTGCTTCACGGCAGAAATAGGCAGGGTGGTGGTACCCACCCGCGCGGACTCACAAGAGGTCCTACCACCAGTAAAGCCAGCAAATAGGTAGGGAAACAAAAGGCGTCTCTACTATTATTATTTTTTAAACCAGAGTATCAGTAGGCACTATAGTACACGGCACCAGATATCTTTAAGGCGTTAACAATCTAAACACATAATTGAAAAATAATTAAACGTCAAATCGTAATAAACACAGAAGCCGCAATCAAAACGTTGGGACCTTCGTACAATTATGTCAAATCAAATTTGGCACTTGACGAACAGTGATCTGACGGGACAACTTGTGTGGTCCGACCGTGTGTGTGTGTGTTTTTTTTGTTTTTTTTTTTTATTCATACGCTGTAGGGCGATGACTAACAAGCTTTCGATAACTAGCCACCGACGAAGCGATATGATTGGTTCCGATGTGTTTCGGCGTTTCGGAACGTGTGAATGACGTATGAAATAGGCCACGGTAATGTGACCGTACGTCCTTCGTTTTTTTTTTTTACTGGCTTTTAACTTGAACTCCCATTGTCTTTGATTAAAAGTTTTAACCGAGTGGAAGTTTTATTTAAGTTTTTTTTTATTATAAGTTCACGACAGACCAAGACAATAGCCTAACCGGAGTTAAGGGATACTACCCGTAGAATACTGACCATCTAGGTATATTTGTTCTGAAGTCGCTGTACCAAGCCAAGCCACTGACGGTCCCTATCAACCAGTGGAGATTTATATCGCACCTACCCTATTGGTAATTAGATAGAACGAACAAATAGTTTCACTAATTAAGTTCTATTGTTATCGAAATGTATAGTTTTTCGACAAAAACTACTTTCGTAGAAGTCAACAATAATAGAGTATTATTTTTTATATTTTATCAATAAAAGCTTTTTGAAAAATTATGACAACTTAATTTGAAATGACTCCATCGGAGATACACTGCCCTACATCTTTTTCAGATATATTTAAGTTTCATTTTTGAAATTATTTAAATATTAATTAAGTAATATACATATATTTAATGAATATAAATATAGAGTGAACAAGTGATACATAGTTTGTGTTTTCTTTATGGCTTGTTTTCTTTTTTATTATTAAATCTGTCGACAAAATAAACTAGTAATCAATGTAAATATTAATAAAATACAATTCACATATAACGATACATTCTGAGATGATACAAGTTCATACGTATGAAATCGTGGGCACAGCTAGTTAAAATATATATATACTCTATTAAAACACCTGTTTATTATAGGTAACAAAATCATGGATAACGTCAACAACAAAAAAACAAAAATATCAAACAATAAGTGCCGATCGAAAACGAAACCCTAAACGCAAAACAATGACGCATACAAACTGTTTCCCGCCAATAGAACTGTCACAGTGACATTGACGTGTGTTGTGCGTGAGTTCGCGGTATGTTGTCGAAAGCATGGTGACACTGATGCCGTGTGGGTACCTCGGCGGCACGTCGCCGCGATGCAGCTTGGATCACGCCGAGCCGAAGGTCAGAAGTACTAGTAATAGTCGCCAATTCAGTCACACGATATTACCAACTTTACAGACAAAACAAGCGTTATAAAACCTAATATATAACAGCGAGATTTAAAGTTATTTTTATAAATGACCTTTTAAAGGACTTTAATCTGGTCACAACCACGATCGGATCTCATTTTTATATTCGATTCAAGACTATGTTTAATATAATCACTAAGCAATTGTAAATATTGATAAACCTTCATATTTACGAATGAAATTTTCAGTCGTAACTCACAGATTAAATTAAAACAATCAGATTTAAGAAGACTTTATCGAGAGATATTCGCGATTTAATGGTATTATAAATAGTTAATGAAATCAAGTTACAGATATATTTGAGATCAGATTCAATGCGTTCATGAGGTTATACGTGTGACTGGATCGTGACATATAACTATCTACCCACAAATTTGTATGAGCACGACTATTGTGGCCCGCACGTCCGCTTTTGCTTAATAACTCACTACCCACTGCACTTACATATTGCATGCATCCTTATTTGCTATTAGAATTAATGAGTGCTGAGGTAATGTATTGTTTTATTATTTGTGCATAGATTATTTGTGTTACCGTGTTTATTGTTATTGAAGAAAGAGGAATCCTTGAAAACGTGTCGGCATATCTATGAACCTTTTTGAAGCTGTTTAAAACACCATCTTATCTTTTCAGTTTATTAAGTCGAAGAGTAAATATTTGATTTTCAACATTACGATATGAGTATGCACAGGAGAGGTCTTGTAGAATCGTTAATTTCAGTATCGGATCGAGGGAACCGTTTCCATCTCCCGCCCAGCCTCTCTCAGGGCACCCACAAAGCTCCATCCTCGCTCCTCGCTGTTTATTCTGTAGATTAATGATAGTTCCCGGTACTGCAGGCCTAGCTATCTCTTTTCATTTATAAGACGGCAAGTGTCTGCTACAACAGCAGGAACTAGACCATTATCCCAAAGATTACCAACCGTAGCCTCTACCTTGGAATGATGGTTTTGCAAGTGGCGCATTAATTAACGCTACGAAATCCATTGCTGTTCTTTTTCAAAGGGGGAGTTAAAGACGAATTTCCTCTTACATTTACAGACGCTGGAAACTCCCGATGACTCACTTGGGCTAGCTAATATTCTGCACTAGGAAGGTCAAATATTATAGACTTGTTTGAAATAGCTCCCTGAGTAGTAGCAAAGGGACTAAGCGGTTCCTTCGTATTAATGAATTACGTATTGTTATAATCACTTCACTACATTTGCATTCGTCCGACCATGACTTATGAAGTATCAAATTCGCAGTTCATATCCAGAGTTGTTTTTTTTCATGTACCAATCTGGGTTTGGAAGGAACTTCCACGATTTTTCGTCAACACTATGGATTAGTCCTTTTTAAGCGACGTTTAAGGAGATCGTCGGTAGATTACGGCTTGGCCTCTGACATTACTGACGTATATAAGCGACGGTCACCACTCACCATCAGGGCTTGTTACCATCACAAACATAATTATAGTCGCTTACTATAGCTTACTATATATATATGTAGTTTTTTTCTGCACCGTTTTTTTTAAAGTAACCGACAAACCTAAGTCACCAGCAGCTGCCCTTTCTATCCGAAGCTCATTTCGCGCATCGTCCCTTCATCACAAAACTTTGCGTCTTATAAAACATGTCTTCCTAGAATGTGAGCCAGTAACAAGACTCCTATTTCGTGCTAGTGATAACTCGGTTACCAACCGCAGACGATCATCATCATCATGTATTAGTACGTTCTTTATCTTTGGTTTAAATTTTATTGTTTGTGCAACAAACGTGAATAGCCCAGTGGTTGTTGTAGGGCTGTCACCTTAATACTACTGAGTTAATGCAAGGTACGTTTAAAGATTCCGCCCACTCTTGTTTCAAAGCGGTGCTTATTGGTTTAAATTGGGCCCACTGAGTTTCTCGCCGGATCTTCTCAGTAGGTCGCGTTTCTCATACGGTGGTAGATTCTGCGAAGCACTGCTCTTGCTAGGGCTAGTGTTAGTAACGTCACCAGGTTAGAACCCCGTGAGCTTACTTACTCGTTCGGTAACGCTGGCATAGTTCTTTAAGGCTACCAGCAAGGGTAGGGAAAAAAAATGATTTAAATTGGCACCTCCAAATTTGCCTCTTTTTATAATAGAGGTCCAAAGTGAAGAAGTTCAATTATGCCTTCATGGAGGTTTTAATAGATCCCACACAGGAAGTGTCATAAGCGTGCATCCTCCCTCGTTTCAAAAATACTTACTTAATGAAAACTGAAAATTGAAAAAAGAAAGAGATATAAGCTTGCGTTCATTAGCTCGATACTGGTCTTTTGGTTTTAAAACAAATAAATATACATGCCCTCAAATAGTGATATGTAATTGTCATTAGCATTAATAAAATACATTGATTTTCTCCAGAAATAAGGTATATTTTAGTCATTATCTTCACCAACGTCAGGAGATGGAACGTAGTGCAAATCTCTTTCTTACACTCAAAGATTTCACTTTTCAATCTTCGCAATCTCATTTCTAATCACGACTTTGACGGTACGCCAAGTTTCAGTTTTGTGTTCTTTCGTAGCGCAGCGAAAACCATATTAAATTTTTAGAAGAAAAAAAAAAAAATTTTTTTTTTCATTTGCATACCAACCCTATGCCTTAATCTCGCGTTACCCATTCATAAGCTAATGTTAAAGCAGCCATTAAAGTCTCGTAATGTATTGTGGCGCGGTATACCAGTATCGCAGGACAGTGGATCGTTAGCTACACGATACCAGGCGGACATAACCGTTGAGGAGTTCTATTGCATAATTTTGATACGCGGCACTGGTGCGTTTATAAGACTAATAATAATTATTGTTATGACTAAGACGGACAACTTGATATAACAACAACCATCGAAATTTTTATTATTTTATTGCTTAGATGGGTGGACGAGCTCACAGCCCACCTGGTGTTAAGTGGTTACTGGAGCCCATAGACATTTACAACGTATATGCGCCACCCATCTGTAGATATAAGATCTAAGATCTCAAGTATAGCTACAACGGCTACCCCGCGCTTCAAACCGAAACGCATTACTGCTTCACGGCAGAAATAGGCAGGGCGGTGGTACCTACCCGTGCGGACTCACATGAGGTTCTACCACCAGTAATTACGCAAATTATAATTTTGCGGGTTTCATTTTTATCCAAAGCAAGTACGTAAGGAATAAAGATTTCTGGTATATTAGTACCAGGCGAACATAGAATTGATGAGTTAGTTTCTAAGTGACTGACTTAGTGGTGCAGTAGTTAGCGACCCTGACTGTTGCGCCGAGGGTCGTGAGTTCGATTCCCAGATCGGGCAAACATTGTGTGATTAACAGGTTTGCTTGCTCTTTGTATGGGTATTTATTGTCTATTAGATATATCGACGCTTGAAAGGCAAACGTGACTAAGCGACAATAACTGCTTTATACATAAATGATAGGCAATAACCATATTCGATGCGCAAAAATATATATTTCTAGGTCTTTTAAAATCATTTCAATCCTACAGCTAGATTCGTTAAAATAGAATTTTTTTCAGGTATTTCAACTTTAAATTAGTCTACTGTAAAGTTCACGCATTGTTGCTTAGTCACGTTTGCCTTTCAAGCGTCGATATGTACCTAGTCAGGTCATAAATTCTGTCACATGTTTAATGTAAAATAATTGAAACAAGTTTATTCATTATGTAACCATTCATATACCAAAATGAACTTAACAAAACATAGATTCTTATGACACTAAATTTTATTCAAAATGACCTCCGTGATATTGAATACAGGCCTTCAATCTGCGCGGCCAGTCGTCTATCGCAGCACGAACGAGGTCCATGTCAATATCGGCGGCTGCCTTAATCAAGGATGTCTTGAGTGACTCCAAATTGGGATGAGGCTTTGAGCACGCCTTTTCCTCCAAGTGTTGCCATATCTTGTAATCTAACGGATTCAAATCTGGACTGGAAGAGGGCCAGTCTTCGTGCCGGATGAAGTCGATTTCACGCGCCGCCAGCCAGTCTTGTGTGCTCTTCGCTCTATGAGCTGGCGCCGAATCTTGTTGGAATACCCAGTGCCTGTTATTGAACATGGTATGAGAAACAGGTTCCACAAGGTTCGTCAGGACTGTATTTTGATACACAACTGCATTCGTTTTTACACCTTTCTCACAAAAATGTACCTCTGTTAAGCCCCAATAAGAAACTCCCAACCATACCATGAGCGAGGATGGAAAATGACCTCGTTGGACACGCGGAATACGGTTGCTCGCTTCTTCACTACTGTGTGCGTACACCTTATCATTTTGTTTGTTGTAGCTCTCTTCTACGGTAAAAATTTTTTCATCCGAAAAAAGAATTTCCCGATATTTTTTTCCCGCGTACCGCTTCAACAAAGCGCGGCATCTCTTCAGTCTCAGGTCCATTAGACGAGCATTCAAACGATGTCCTGTTTTTCTTCGATATGCCCGAAGCCCTAAGTCTTCATTTAACACCCTTTTCACCGTGGTTCTGCTTAACCCTATCTGAAGGGCCAACAGTTTCTGCTTACGTTTGGGATTTCTTTGAATTCGCGCCTTCACAGCTTTTATCACTGCTGGAGTCCCAACAGACCGAGGGCGACCATTTCTTGACCTGGCATCTACACTAGAGTCTTCATTGTATCGTTTGATGGTACGATAAATGAATCTTTTGGTTATATTCAAATTTTTCAGTATGTTAAAAATTTGAATTGGCGCGTAACCGCAACGATGCAATGCAATACCTGCAACACGGTCTTCTTTAAGCGTCCACTCCATATTTAAAAATGAGTAAAATTCTAAAAGTATACATTTTTATTTTCATGAAAAATTCGAAATTCGAATTCAATAAACTTTTTTGTGGCCAGCATTCTAAAAGAAAAGTTTTTACTGTGTGACAATACTTATGACCTGACTAGTTATATATTTAAGCGTATATAAG